GTAATGGCGAGATCAAGCACATGGCTGCCGCAGTGTCTTTACGATACTCATTAATCATTTCAGATTTAATGAATAAAATTCCATGAAGCAATATTAATATGACAGATGTGTGGACTGTCCTAACAGAGTTTTAAGGTGTGAGTGAGCTGTGTGTAAAAGGGCTTGTGAGATTAAAAAACTGTGTAGACAGTTGTAAGAACTGCAGTAGTTTTCGCTCTCTCTCTCTCTTTTTCTCTCCTCGCCCACACATGTGCAGTGGGGGGTAAAAGTGTGTGGGAGAGAGTCCGGTTCCAAGCAAGGCGGTAAATCGTCAGGTCCAATAACATCAGATCTGTAGCACTACAACAAAACCACAGAAAGAGAGAGAGGAAGAGGTAGAGAAAGAGCGAGGGGCTGGAGTCATTGGACTACTGTGTATGATAGGGTTTAAAGATCATTAAATTATCTTTATTCATTCCGCATTGTATATGTCAAGAGAAAGAATGAGTATTTTAAGCAATTTGGCAAATGAACACTTGAAAATAAAGTTTCAAAAAGAGGATTTTTGAAACAATGCCAAGAAGAACCATTTTTGGAATTAAACTTTTGGTGAACAGCTCTTAAAAGAAGATTTTTTCTTAATGTGAAAAATATATTCTGAAGAAGTTTTTCCATGGTAAAGAACCTTTGGAAAAGTTTTTCATGGAACCATAGATGTTAATAAAGATTTTTATTTTAAAAATATAAACTTTATTTTAAAAGTCCCAGTAAAAAAAGAAATGGCAACAGATCTTTTCTCTTTTTTAATTGATATAGTGCTTTAGAAAGATTGTTTTAAAGCAGCTTCACTGTGATGAACGGGAAAACAACAATGAATGATGCAAACTTTTCTTCCATATTGTGATGTTCATCCAAGTGTCAGACATTATGGGAAAAAATGTAGGGTGGGGACTTGGTTCTATCGGATGTTAACCGGACTTGGGTTTTGCACTCAAAATTTGAGGAAGATGAATGCGAGTTTGCGGGGATGAGGTTTCAGCTGACTGAATGATTGGAGAAGTCTATCGTTTTCAACGGCAGGTCCAGTTATGACATTTTGATCAAACATTACAAGGAAAAACTCTTTAAAATGACACCTATCCACGGATAAATTTGTAACAATAAAATGCATTTAGAAAAGGGATAGGTTGAATTGTAATTTCATGCAGATTCAGACTGCAGTCAGTGAATGGCAGATTCACTGCCTGACTGTGTGTGAAAACCTCTCTGAATTGGTGCATTTGTGCATGAGCATTAGTAGTGAGTGTGACTGTCTATATGCATTTGCCTCTGCCTGCATTATTTATCTTTTTCACCAAATTACACTTCACTTTTCATTAATCTCCTCTACTCCTCCTCTGTCTCCCCATCTTTCTCTCTGTGCTTCCGTCACACCCCACAGAGCCACCTTCTCCCCTTTCATCATTCTCCTTTTCCTCCCAGAACACTTTCAATTTCAATTTCCGTTTTTTCCTCTATTTACATTCACAATACATCATTTTTTCAATCAATGCTAAAAACGTGGACTTCAGACCCAGGTAAAGCCAGCTAATCTTACAGGCATAAAGCCAAGAATAAAAGTCAATAAAGTTTATCATTGCATAGTACAGCTAATGCGAAAATGGCTTTAAATGTTGAAATCATTTCTACATTTGATGTAACAAAATGCAAAGGTGACAAAAGTGGCCTCTGAGATTTAGAAATCAAATATAAGCTAAAATTGAGTGTTTTATTAAGATAAGTGTGAGATTCAAAAAATTAAAGTAACAGCTGAAACATAAAGAGAAGCTTTTTATTTTCAAATAGAAATAAAACAATGTAAAAAGTTTTCTATCACTTTGCTTTAATCCATATAAAAAGCGAGATAAAAATAAAAACTTTCCAAAGTGATCATTCTCTGTTGCCATGCATTCACATCCTTAACTGACATTATCTCAAATATTGTTTCTGTATTAGGCTGCACATTGTTTCAATGTCTCACACTGCAAATCTACTGCTCTGCTATAGAACAAGGATATGTATGCATATCATCACTATCAATGACACTAATAAGGGCACTCGGTCTGAAGGCTCAAGGGAAAAAAATTAATCATTCAGCATGTTCTTACTCTCCTTGATAGCTGCCTTTGTCTGCTTCAGTCTCTATCTGCTTCTAGCTGTCAAATCATCAGTAGTAAAATAATATTCAAATGGTGCACCAGGACCCCAGACATGTCAAACGATATTCTGTAAGCCATGTTTTTCCATCTTTCAACATTAATATCATGTAAGGCCATTCATCAAAACCATGGATAAATCACATCAGGCTGTGATTTTTCACTCAAAATCGAATCTGCATGAGGCAGTAAATGGCTTGCTATTTCAAAGTCAAGTATCCATAAAGGAAATATAAACAGCTTCATAAGTGTCCGGATGCACAGAGCACTGAAGTATGTCATAAATATCAGTTCGTCAAATTATTTCTCCTAGTTGCCAGTTTGTTTGCTTTAAAAAAAAATAAAAAAAGGTTACAAATAATATGTTGCTATTCACATTGTTTTTCTATATGATATCATTCTATATGATACTTTTCAAAAGAAAAAGAAAAAAATAGAAAAAAAGCATTTTTCATGTGAAATACAAATGAAAAATAAACTGATCAAGTGGTTTCAGCAGCTCAAGTATAATGGACACCACAACAATGTTTATTTGCACGATGAGAACATTTGTTATAAAGAAAAGACTACACTCTTAGAAGAAAAGGTTCTATAGAACCTTAAAAGGTTCTTCTGATTCAGTGCTACGTATTTGGAACCCCTAAAAGGTTCTATACAGAACCCTTTTTTAAGGGTTCAATAATAAGAAACCTTTAGGGTTCTTTGTAACCGGGTTCTATGGAACCTTTTGGGTTCATTCATAATTATTAGTTTTGTCCTTTCCGGATTAAATATTTCATATTCTTGAGAAACATCAAGAATCTAAAATGTATTTATGAATGCATGTGAATGATCACAAAATTCAAGATATGGGGGTTAGAAAATGTATATATTTATATCATTTTATGTAGTTAATCAATATCACACGAAGAGTGCCATTTCAGTTTTTCTCCTCCAAAAATCAGCATGATTAAAATGTGATATTAAGTTACTACAACAGTTTAATCAATATTTTAATTACAACTACAAAATGTTGCAGAATAATGTATATGAGTGAATAATAGCCTATTAAGAACCTTTGTGCCAAAAGGGTTCTTTCTTTTCATTATAGAACCTGTTTTAGCATAAAAGGTTCTTTGGAGTTGAGTAAAGAACCGTATGCTTCATATATAGAACCCCAATGAACCCTTTATATGCTCAGCTGCTGTAAAATCCACAGAAGAAGGATTTCACTTCAGGTTGTGGCCTGTTGCCCAGCTCTAAAGCAGTTACATAAGCACTGTCAAACACTGAATATTTCATTTATATGAGTACTGATTGAAGCTTACTGATTGAAGCTTGAAAAAAAGGGTTCTTTGGCATAACCAATGTATTTGACTTTAAAAAAAAAAAACATACATAAACCTTATAATTTGTAGTCATAACAAAGGGTTTACCGTAACATTTGAACAGCACATATAATGAATGATAGAATCTTTAAAAAGCACCAAGTGTTAGATTGTAGGCCTATATTATATTGCATACATTTTGGCAGTGTTAGTATGAATATGTATGACTATCACATTGCTGGCAGTTTTAGAGGAAAGTTATTTTAAAGATAATTTAGTGTGTACACATTGGCTTACTCTAACAATCTAAAGAAATAATGCACTTCTGCATATATGTAAATCTCACAACTGATTTGGACTGTAAATGGATCTGCATGAGTCACTTCATTGGTAATTTTAGATAGATTTCGTTAATATTATTTATATAAATAATAATACACAATATTGGTAATATTGTACCAAAAAATTGGTACAATATTATTTATTCCAAATGCGCAACCATCCACAAAGCACACGGGCAACGTGACTAATGTCTTTTTGGGGCATAAGAACTATTTTTGATCACTTATCACTTATGACAGCCTGGTCTGTCATGAGTATGCTGGTCATGATTTGATTCAAATTATGATCAAATTAGCATAGACAGTAAAAGACTGCGCAGGCTCAAACTGAGCATGACAACAGTCTGTCTGACAGTAGTAAATCTTCTAGTAGCTGTGCCAAGACAAATCTGAATCACCTAATTCCTCAAAAACGTTGTTGAAATATTCTGTCCATGGACTCTCTATTTATGGGCTTCTACCTTGATTTTGTGCCTTCATGTCCCCCCGATTGCCTCAGTAAAAGATTACCAGCGAGCTTCTCCTCCATGTCTATACGGTAATGACTCTATTGTGCGACAGAAAGTCCTGTGGTTATGATGCAATCTTTAGCCTGTTTACAAAAAACAGCTTCTACAGGGCCGTAACCAAGATACAAAGTAATGGAGCATTTTATACATTGTTGTGTTTCTTTAGAAATAAATAATGGACAAAAGAAGTCTTTGGACACCTCAGATGTAAAGTTATTTGCTGTCAAAGTGACGCCAAAATGAATGGGAGTCAATGGGATGCTAACAGCAGCTGAAGTTCTGCTACAATGGCGGCTCCCGCGAGGCTTCAACTTCCGGCTGATGGATTACCCCTTGCAAATTAGTCAGCCTGACCTAAATCCAACATGGCTGCCAGTGGTGCAGAATTTGAGATAAGTAAATATATATTAAAGCAACACTAAGTATGATTTATTCCATTAAAATAATGTTTCCAAAATTGTTTTAGTGGTTCATTAAGTCAGATTCGCTTCGCGGTCATATCTGCTATAACCACGCTATGTAAGATTGACAGATCGGGTCGCGTTTCTGTAGTTCGAATGAGACACAAGAAAACTACAAATTTGACTTGCTTTACAATAGTCATTATTTTGTTTTTCTTCGTTTCTGATGTCGCAATACATCATAGTTTCCTGAAATCATGCAACATACCTTGTCTTTGGACATCGTTCATTACAAAGCCAGTGCTGGATAAACAACGAGCGTGTGTGCGGCTGTAGGCTGTGGTAGGGCGACCTGTAAGGCGACCACAGAGGAAAAATTACTTTGTGTTGCTTTAAACTTTTCTTCTAAACAACAACAACAACAAAAAAAGAACACTGCTAACATTAATTGTGAACATTGTCTAACATAAGGTGCTGAAGGAGAAAATTAATTAATACCAAATTAATCCCAAAAATAGCCACCAGGTGACTTACATTCCATTGAATTTAATTGTATGCATTATCTGCCATAACAAATTAACACATTTCTGTCCAAATATCACTTCTGTCACAAAATATTGAACGCAGATTGACAACAACAACCGGAAGACACCATGCTGAATAAAGTCATAGTTTTTATTAATTTTCCAAAATGTATTTTCGATGTTTCAAAACATTCTAACTAACCCACTGATGTCACATGGACTACTTTGATGATGTCTTTATTTACTTTCTGGACAAGGACAATATACCGTGTATACATTTTCAATGGAGGGACAGAAAGCTCTCAGACTAAATCTAAAAAATTTTTTAAACTGTGTTCCGAAGATGAACGGAGGTCTTACGGCTTGGAACGACATGATGGTGGTGAATCATTATGACATAATTTTCTTTTCTGGGTGAACTAACCCTTTAGTTGACAACAAATGCAGCAATTGACTTTACATTATTATGAATATTATGCTATAAGATTATGACAACATGAAATTAAATATCATGACTAACTAACAGGTGTTTTCAAATGATTTTTGAAGCTTGACCCATTTTTTTTTTTTAAATGATCTGCAATTTGAATGTTTTATTGCACCAATGCAATCCACTTAATTTTCAACAATAGAAATGTAGGCTACTTTTTACCTGGGTGGTTTCCGGCTCTAAGGATAACAGCACACTTGTAAAAACTGGAAAACAACTCACTAAGCAATGGATGTAACCTAGGCTATCCAGGCCAATTAAGGGACTGCTTTTTAGCTGAATGTGACTGGATTTTGATTCCGCTTTTCACTAGAACAGCACTAAATGTCATGCTAGAACATTTACGCAAATAAGGTTAAGAAAAGTTGTACGGATGTTTAAAATGGAAGGTGCTGGTATGTTTGACAGGGGAATTCTGTTTTGGATAGTTCTTGTGTCAGCAAGACTCGCTTCGCTTTGTTTGTACGTAAGCGTGGGCAGGAAGCCTCTGTCACATATCCAATCTAAGGGCAACCCACCCACGGTTAGCTGTCTGAATCGATTATAAATGAATTTTTTTTTTTTTAAAGCGCCTATGGAAGGCTTCGAGTGTTCAAATTATGCTTGCTGTAGAGAGAGATTCATCTGGGGAAAGACCAAGATACGGTGGATGACGCCTCATTAACTCCCAGTCAGAGCCGAGAGAACAAACGATCAGTTTGTAAAGAACGCCAACGCGGCGTTTCCCTCTCTGCGACACACTCAGGACAGGGGGGAAATGATGGAGGTGGAAGAATTTCTCTTTCGGCGTCAAGAGATCTTCGTGGGATAGGTCATTTGTCAACAGATTGCTGTTAATTCTCCAAGCCGGAACGTACCTCTTCTGTCGCCCTCTCGTGTGTGAGACAGTCGACGTCCTCTGGGTGAAGTTAACGTAAACAGACAGTTGGTTGCAGAAACACTATCTTCTCTGACAGCCATGTAAAGCCTCTGTCAACTCATTCTCTCCATGCGCTAATCCAATTCGTTCATGTTTAACATTATACATTTCTTGATAAAATTCACATGGCTGGATTATTTTAACTTTCCTAATAGAAAACACCCATTATTAGGCTATTGTCTCTTCACTTGCCCGAGCACGTAACCAAAACATGCACTTGCAAACGACTTTCGAGACTGCTATTCCGCAAGTCTACTGTAGGCCTTATTGAGCAAAACTGTAGAGGTAGAAATTGCATTAAGATAAACGGTTCTTTAATTACACAAGTAAGGAAGGAGGTTAAGCACGGTTAAAATAATTTAACTAATGGCCCTTAACAATAGCAGTGAGCCAAAAAGATAAAGAAAAACGAAGGCAATGGTAATAAGGCAGTCATCAGTGTTTTGTGCATGAGCTTGCCCTTAGTCTGAAGATGGAAACGCGTGAGAACGCGATATGAAAAGAGTTTTGGACAAACTTTTGGAAACGTTGGATTTCTAAATTCGTTAGGCACATGAAGTGCACTAATTACCTGTGCAACTCATCCAGCTTGATCCCTGCTGTTGACAAGCTGTACATTCCCAGAGAGTTGTTTACGATCACTAGCCCGTCAGTTTCACTGGTGTTACTTAGGCTATATATAAAGAAATAGCTATGGTTTAGGAAACAAACAGCTTAAAAAAATGAAAAATGAATAATTGCACCACCTTGTTCTTTGTTAATACAATGTCCAAAGTTGATTAAAATAGGCTATTCAACAATTGCTTCATCATTCGTGCCAAACATTTGCCATTTGTTTATTCCAAAGGGAGATGTGGATGTGAGGGACTGACAGCTTCAGTCACCATAACTTTATTTGTACAGGGGAAAAAAAACGTCCCTAACATCTCCAATAATAGTGACAATGTCCTTATTTGGGTGTATTTTCCTTTCAAATTTTAAGTTGCCAGTTCGTTCAAATAGATAAGAAATAGCCTACAATATGGACGAAAGATGATGAGTCAATGAAAACAAATGCTGACAATCAAGCTCTCTAACACAAGCTTGTAAACCTATAGGTTTCTATAAATTCAGCATTCCTGTACAAATGAAATTGTTTTTAGGCCTATTCGATAGAATGTTTAAGATAAAATACATAATCCTTCGTCTCACCGTAATTTGCATGTTGGATGCAATACGTTTTTATTTTTAGATGGTTCACAATATATAGGCTACCAGCATAATACATGCCAGGAATATCGAGCTGCAAATGTTTATTGTCCATTTTGTCTGATAGAGAAGGAAAAACGGTTGCAAAAGATTGTAATGGTAATAATGATTCATTTCAAACACTCATCAAAACATCCTGTAATATAACGTCACGACCTGGATACGGAAGAGGCAAATTACTCGCTAATGTAAAATAAAAATCCAGATCAGACAAAACATGTAGCCTATAATACGCATTCATGTTGCATGCACTGACGATTCATGCGCCAGCTGTTTTCTTTGTGAATTTTATGGTGTAATTGCATTTATGCGTTTTGTTAATGATGCAATGTAGGCTACATCGTGATGACTGATGAGGATTGTTGGTGCCTTTGTGTTGCGCTGTCAGTTTGCAGCTGCATCTTGGAAGGGACCGGTCTCGCCCTCCCCGTGTTGTCTAGCCCTCTCTATTCGGCGGAAAAAAAGTACTATTTCATTCATCCCGTTTCCTTCCATTCATCTGGGCACTGCAGCGTAGCGAAGACTCGGGGTTCGATCAGCACCAAAATTCTTATCAATGGAGAGAGTCAGTGACGTCAATGAGCTAGAGTGACGTAGAGTCACGTGGGCACACTGGGGCCGAAATAAAAACACGGAGAGCTGACCGTGGTACTGAAAATATCCCCATAGCACCGTGCAAGAATAGCCAAGCATACGGCTTACACAAATGATATTTCTGTACAAATAAAACAGCAACATTCAAAGCAAGCATGTATTGTTGAAGTGGATTCGTACTCGTAAATCGCGAGACTAACTTAACTTTAATACAAAGTTTGAAGAGGACACAATAAGTGCGTCGGACTGCGCTGCCCCAGACAGGATTCCCGGTAAGTCCCGGCTTTCTTTTTATAGTAACAGGGAACAGTAATGCAGAAGGCGTGGGAAAAGAAGTATATAATAATGTAGAAAGAAGCAGCATAAATTAAAAACGCAAACTGAGTTTTTTTTAAGATTTTGCTTTATTGGTTTACATGTAAATAATAATAATAATAATAAATGCTAGGCATTTGTAATAATGTATTCTAGGCTATTTCCATTTTTAAGTCTATAAGGGGACCTGATGAAAAAGAAAATGCAGCAATGTAGAAAGAAAAAGTAGGCTATAATTATTTGTGAGGAAAGGCTTTAAACTTAGATTAAAACCTTTAGTGATACTGAATATTGCAATGATGACTTTTATAATTAATGATTAAGGTAACAGGTGTGATCAATGGCACAGCTCTCATAATAATTATTACCACGCCCGTGCTCATGCTTTCATCATCTTTCTCATCACCATAGCATTAGATACCCAAAATAACTAACCTACGTCGAGTCCAATCACAAAAGCGCACGAGAGACAGTGTCATAAAAACATGTTTTGCTTCTGCATGTTTTGACTTTTGTCTGCTGGGGTCCAATTTGACGTATTGTACATACCTATAAGTAGCCTATATGGAGCAGAGAAATGTTGACAGAAAATTCAACAGCACAACATTCATTTTCTGTTTTCATGTCTTTCAAATGTTGTTGATTGGGTTCAATTTGTCATAGAAGACGTTTAGGTCTTAAATCTAATAGTCTCAAAACAGAGGATTATAGGCCTATAAGGCGTCCACAAGGTGTCTTAGAGCGGGATTACTTGCGCTCTTTGTTGATGAGACCTCCCCAATTGTCTCGGTCATTTAAGTGGGCGAGGGTGTGTTTCTGTTTGAGCTGCTGTTATATCGTGGAGACACGATTCTAATAAGACAAAAAGTTGATCTATTCAAATTTGAGAGGAGCTACAGACTGTTGTTTTTTAATTCAAATAAGACAATTGTGCATACCACGCAGCTGTCAAACTTCGTGAGCCAGTTGGCACAAATCCTAATTTCATGGAGTGTTTTTTTCTTCCTCCATATGAGTGAGAAATACTCGTATTTGGGTTTTTTTTAAGTTCTAACTTGCTTTTTATGGTCATACTGAGATTTTCAGATCATCCTTGTATTGTTTGCTCATTAACCTCCCACGCATCGGAAGGGCTCTCTGCTAAGGCGCTTTTCCTCATACATTATTAGCACCGCGCCGCGTGTGCGCCCAATCACATGCACAAAGCGCATCAGAGTCCTCACGAACCGCACCAGCTCAAGCCGCAGAGCCAATTACAACGCCTTTGCAAAATCAGCTAAGCAGCAGGCAATAACACATCAATTATAGCTTAACAAAATATCCTCCCTCCTATGATTAAATGTTTGTGAAAAAAAGTATAAATATGCTTTAAAGGATATCTTCAGAATAGAAAAATCCTCAGTGGATTTGATAAGAAAAAATAAAGAATGTAGCCCTTAAGTCTGTATTGACATTAGTTCTTCCATTACAATGCTCCCAGGTATCAATTACAAGTCATTCATACAATCTTTTTTTGAGTGTTGCATTCAGGCTGTGTCCACCATTTTACCTGAGAAAAATCTTCATTCTGAGCGATGCACATGACTGTTTTTACTCAAGCTCATTTATTCCAAAAAAAAAAAAAAAAATTATGACAAAGGTATATCAAAAACACGATATAACTACAATGCATAGAAAACAGTTGTTTTTGGTCACCTTGGGATCAGTTTTGAAGGGCTCTTTTGTAACATTTTTTATGCACTTTTTCTGCCTTTCAGGTTCAACACGTACGTGCGGACATGAGCTGGTGCCAACAAACTTTAAATGTTCATGTCATTTTCCTGTTCGTGTTATTTAGTCTCACAGTCAAGCCTGCAACCTTCAGTTCAGTGACAGCAGCCAGCAACACAGTAAGTGAAAACTATGCAGCACCCTCCTCTGCTCAGCAACAGAGTCAATATACTCAACCATCAGAGGAGAAGGGCTCGCTGCATGATGAAAACGAAGAAGATGAGCTTTTCAAAGACGTGGATCCTAGAACCCTAGCGGCGGTCCTTCTCGGGGCCCTTAACCAACCTCAGAAGGAAAAGATGAGTGAACGAGAAGAGGAGGGAATGGAAGTGGAAAAGCAGAAGGATCTTCAGGGTGCAGACAGAGACCGAGATAGTCACAAAGAGCTGGAGCTGGTCATGGCAGCTGCTGCAGCGCAAGGAAAAGACGAGAAAGAAAGAGAGGAGGAAGAAGAGAGAAAAAGGGTTGAGGAAGAGGAACGGCTAACGGAGAAAGTGACGAGCCACACCACTAGTCAGACGGTGCCATTAAAAGAGCAGGTGGCTCCACAGGACGGGGCCACCAAAGAGGAGGTGATCAAGGAGGAGGAGAGGCAGGAGCCAGAGAGAGGAGAACTGGGGGAGGAGGAAGAGCAGCTGAGTCCAGAGGAAGTGAAGAATCTGGAGACTGTTTTAGAGGAACTGCAGAGCTACAGCACAGCCACTAAGAGAGAGCGTGACACGTCCACGGGACAGAGGGAAAGCCGTGGGGAGTATTTCGATTACCTGGACCGTAATGGCCTCATGAACAACGACATCAAGTCCAAAGCTAAAGGCCATGACCTAGCCCTGTCCAAGAAGAAGCTAAAGTGGCAAATCGAACAAGAGAAGAACAAAATTCAGCCTTTACAAAGAGGGGGCAACTTCATGGACGACTTTACCAATAACCTTGCTGACCCAGAAGAAGAAGATGAGGAAGATCAGGAGGACGAAGAACAGCTGAGCCCTGAAGAAGAGGAAACTCGGGCCAAAGCAGAGCAAGAGGAGGTACGCAGACAGGCAGCGGAAGCACAAAGAGCCAAGGTGGAGGAGGAAAAGCTTGCGGACATTGCCTCTGACATGCTCCTGAAATACATCGTGAAACAGGACAAGAATAAGTACCAAGACAACAATGGTGCAGAAGATAAGCGCTCTGATGAGGAGGACACTAGCGATGACGATGATGACATTGACCCACAGACCATTGATAAGCTGATTGAGATCTCAAGCAAGCTACATCTTCCTGCTGATGATGTGGTGGACATTATTAACGACGTGGAGAAAAAGAAGAAAAAAGATGCTCCTGAAAATCTCCCATGGCAACGTCCTCTCATGCCGCCTCCAGCCCCTGTTGCACCTTCGACTCTGTTACGTAAACCTCCTCCCTCAAAGCCTCCTCAACCGAACACGAACCCGTTGAAAACCTGGTTCAAAGACAGGGCCTCGGTCAAGCCCAGCAAGCAAGACATTTGGACGAGACAGCAGTGGCCCTTTCGTACCTACCCTTCCTACAAGTTCTATCAAAAACCCTACAGAGGGTATTACCCCATCTACATCCCGCCTCAAAAACCAAAATCCCGCTACTATTCCAAGCCCTCTTTCTCCCTCAACGATGTCCTGGGAAACTCACTGGACTATGACTTTGATTACTCCCCCAGACGGAAGTCGCGTCTCTGGGCGCAGTCTCCCCAAAGAGCCCAACCACCCTTCCAGCGGAACCTCTACTTCCCTCACCCTCGGACGTTCAAAGCCGCACCCATTCCTAAACCCCGCTCACCTCCACGTCGTTGGCAGTCCTTTTATTACCCAGCCCGAGCTCCTGTAGTCACCAGAGAAGACGATTACTACAGTCCTCTGAGGCAGCCGCCACAGGACAGCGAAGAGGAGCTACAGAACTTCATCCAGAGGGTCTTCATGAAACATCCCCGGATGTTTCAGTGAACCGACTGGGGCGGGAAGAGAGCGATGAGGAGGTGGAGGGGGAAAAGGAAAGTGAAAGGAAACAACTTCAAGACTGTTCATTGCCAACCTATCATGTTCTGGTTTCTTTTCCTGAAATCAATTTCTTCACACTTACCTATTTGCTTCAGATAGAAAGTTTACCCCCAAGAAAGAACACAAATCAGATCTTCATGTCCATCTAACCACATTTAGATCTAAACAGTTATTTTGTATATTTTGTACATTTAAAATCCCAGTGGTCAACATCATTGATCCTAGAGAGAGAGAGCAAAAAAATTCTAATTGCACCTTTAAAGAACGCAAACACAGATTCATTCAGAAATGATGAACAATCACAGTGCCATAATGGTGGAAATAGACATTTTGTTAATTCAATACACCAAATGTATTAAGTCTTACTTGTACCTCAAAGTATTCTGCTTGAGCATTTACCATTTGTGCGTTCCCTTGTGAAGCAGAGGACACACTCGAAGTCTTGTACATAGAATTAGTTTCTTATCGCTGTCTGCATTTTGAATTTTTCCCTTCAATGTATTTATACCATTGTTTTTTTTACGCAAAAAAAGATAGAAAGTTGGTACAAAAGACATTCATACATTCCAACGATTTCTAAGAAACAAATGTATTATTTCATAGAAGCTGTTTTGAATACAACTTTTAATTGCCTTAAGACACTCTCTTCCCCTATTCAGATGAACAGCATTTTTGGTCGCAGACTGGCTGAAAGGTTTGTTCTCAAGCTCATAAACGTTATTCAGTGGAGCTGGGAAGCAGTGATCAGCCTTTTGACTATATACATATATATGGGGAGGGGGGCATACAAAGTCCTAATTTTCTTTAAATGATTTGACAGAGGGAAACGCTAGAGGGAAAATGGATGAGGATAGCTGAACCAGTGGAGGAGTAAAATTTCTGCACGTTACTGTAAACTTGCATCTAAAATGTGTTGCTTCTTTAAAGACATTCAGAGCATTGAAAAAAGTACAAAAAAAGACGAATGACTAGTGTATTCAAGTTAAAATGCCATTGAGTCTTGTGTGAGGAAAAAATGTTTGTCCTTTCTAGATGTATCTTGTACGTAACATAATAAACATGCGTTTGCTGGATGTAAATAACCGCATGTTGATGACTAGTTTTGCTACAGAGAGAGAAATAAATAAACTTGACTATTTTTTATTAAGATTGTTTTTTTTAATTCCTTTGTGTAAAGAACACGGTTGTGAGATGTGTTTTGGCTTACCTTTTCCCCCATCTTAAAACAATAGGAAAAGCATGCACAAACATCACCAAAAGGAAATTAAAGATGAACATTCAAGGTCTTAGTGTGAAAGTCTTTCAAAGATGATCTCTCTAATGAGCTCATTTGATCAGCAATTAGCCCAACACACTGTGTGAGCCCCAGAGCCAATCACTGCCACATATCGTCTTCTTAATTGCATGCCAGGTCGAATTTTCTCTTAGCTTTGATATGCCGTATGAGCAAATATAGACACGTATGTGCATGCACACATTATTAAGATACCAAAGGACATTAAAATAAGACCAGAGGACAGATTTACCGTTGAAAAGAATTATGAAGGGAAAAGTATATGCTATGTAACTAGAAAGCAAGAAGGGCATGGGGTCTTGACTAATGAGAGACTGAGCTTATTAGTAGTCCCAAGACTGCTGCGTGCAATCAAAGACTTTCAGCAAGGAAGGTTGTTATTAGGAGAGACGCCCCGCTTTCACACCACATGAGACATGTTTCGGAGTGAGGTTCACTTTTTATTTGTGCAAAAATACTTAAAGGAATAGTTCTTCAAAATCTGTCACACTCACCCTCAAGTTGTTTCAAACCTGTATGAATTATTTCTTTCCTCTGCTAAATACAAAAGATGATACTTTGAAGAATGTCGGTAACCAAACAGTTTATGCAACCCATTGACGTCCATGCAAAAAAAAATACTATGGAAGTCAACTGAAAGAAATTCATACAGGTTTGAAACAACTTGAGGGTGAGCAAATGATGGATGACACAATTTACATTTTTAATTGAACTATTCTTATAAAGCAGGGTTACTCAAACTCGGTCCTGTCAAGCAGTGCTTTAAAGTTTGAAGAAAAATCTGTCATTCACCCACCCTCATGTTGATCCAGACCTGAATGAATTTCTATCTACTTCAAATATATAATTATAGATAATTAATGTGGTTCAGAAAACATAACATTTTGAGTTTCTGTTGATTAAACCAGTCTGCATTCTATTAACTCAAATTTCTAATTTCTAAGAGCTCAAAATTAAGGCAACCAGGTTACTTAAGTTAAACCAACAATACCTTTTTTATAGTGAAACAAAGAATATAAATACATCTAGAAAGAATATAACTCATATACATGAACACCAAACAAATTACTTTTGTACCGGTTCATGTTTGATTTGTTACCACACTACAAAAAAATTGCATTACATTTTGCTCTATTCTTTTTTGGAAAATTTACCTGACAAGCAACACTGCAGGTAGGCTAATAAATATAAACATTTTTAACTTAAAGAAAGTGGAAAATTCAGACATGTCAAAACTTAATTCAAAATGACTGAAACAAGAACAAAATGAATTTCAGTGCTTTAATTTTCAGTATCAGCCTATATATACAGGGCTTTAACTTAACCGTACACAATTGGGCTACTAACACCCAAATTAAAATACATTTCATTCCTATCAATTTATTCATATAATCATATTAATCATCCATATACTAGAGAACCATAAAAAAGGCTATTTCAAGGGTACAATGACATTATTTGTGAACAAGGACCTTCATATGCGAAGTGAAAAAGTTCTTAGTACATAATCACTTGTCATCAAATTAGAGCATTTTTCAATTCAGAATGTTAATAACGACCACTGAATGAGACCGATCTGGAAACAAACAAGGAGTGACAGCTACAATTTCCCATGAATAAATCAATAAAAAACAACAAAACAAAAACAGAAAATTATGGAAGGAGAATCAGACAGGGATAGAAGACAAAGAAAATGACAGCCTAATGAAATTGTAATCAACAACAGAAAGGCTTGGAATAAAGAGACACCAAACAAATGGCGAGAGGTAGTCAATAATAATGTTAATGAAGAAAGTGAGAGGGTGGCATAAAGAGAAATAGAGAGAATGGGGCGACCGAGAGGTTGATAAGGAGAGCGCAGCCCACGGAGGAGCAATGATTCATAAGTCACATGGTTGAGAGGTGAGTCATACTTGCTCTACTGCAGAACCCTCAGCCTCCAACACACACTGACAATCCTTTGTCATATTCACTTACTCAGGCATAGCAACTGGGAAGAGTAATTGTCAAATTCAGTCAAACAGACTCTGTAATACCACCCGATTCAATTAAATAAAAAGAGCGACATCTACCAATGTGTGTTAAATCCAATTGTGCACGAACAGGCAATTTTGCACACTGACAAATGCCAGAAAGAAAGCATGTGCACTTATCAAAGCCAAAAGCACTCCATTCCTGCGTTACACCTCTGCACACAAGCAAAATGACAAACACAGTTTCTTTGCCCGGAAGGCTTGCCCAGAAAACAGGGGAATGAAAACGCACTTTGTTCTCCTGATCAAATATCGAATCTGTCCGACATTCTCTATGACTCAAAACCCAACAGCCCCGATGCAGAAAAAAAAAAAAAAAAGATCAGCATAATGGGAAAACCCACGGAAAGCCCATATGTTCCACCTCCACCAAAAACAATCTCTGCCAAGTCCATCATCGTGTTGGCCTGAAGCGGTCTTCACATTTCATTATGGAGGAGGGAAGCTCTAGGGTGGGTTTGCCTGTAAACGTTGTCCCAAGATCAGCTTTTCGAACACTTATTCTGGCAATCCTCCAGAAGAAAAAAAAATGAAAAGAAATGTCTTCACCTTACATCACTACACAATATACAGACTGCTCATAGATTCTATAGGACACCATCTCCTGAGAGGTCCCACGGGTTAACCAAAACCTCACAGATGTAGCCTTTAAAAACATAAAGAGAGGGTGAGACTGACTCTTCATAGTAGATAAAGTGTTACTGTCTGTGAGGATAATGGGAAGGAAGTAACAACATGACATTAAAAATTCATCATGAGGTAGGCAGAGAGGCCAGGCAATTATGACGGGCGGAAGGAGGGGGGAGAGAGAGAGAGAGCATGCAGAGGCACTTGGCAGAAACTCAGTTTCCACTGGAGATGTGCTGCTGCCAGATCAATGGAAAAAGACTCGTACGGGGGAGAAATGAGAGCAGTTATCCATCAAACCATCAGTGCGAGACCAGCATATTATACTTACTGTCATAAAATGTGCTCCACAGAAGCTAAACATTGTTTCAGGTAATCTCAAAGACATGTCTGATTAACTTTGCAATCATAATGACTAAATCATGAAATGACACTCAGTGGAAATGCATTTGCCGCAAAGGCCATTTTGAGAGTGAGGCTGAGTGTTTCGTTGGCTGTAAGTTTTCAGAATTTCTATTATTCTGTGAATTTCTACAGCCAAATTTAATGGTATTGATGCAATGAAAAGATGCTATTGTACCAAACTGTCTGAAAGGGTAAATATTATACAGAAAGGGTATTAGTACCTGTAAGTGGTATACTTTAGAGGCTGATTAGGTATAAAAGGATAATAAACCTTTCAACTTCTCCCTAGTTTCTTTAAAAAAACTAGAAATTGAGGGCACAAGTATGACTTGTTTTGAAACCAGAATATTACTTAGCATTGTTCACACCAAAATGAAAGATTTGTCATCGTTTAGTCACTTTGGCGTTTCAAACTTGTGACTTTCTTTCTTCTGTGGTATACAAAAGATGTTTTGATAAATGTCTCAGCATTTTTTTTTTGTTGTCCTATTCCTATAATGGAAGTCAATGGAAAACAAAGCAGATTTTATGTGGTTAAGAAAATCATACAGGTTTGAAACAACATGAGGGTGAGTAAATAGTAAACTGTCCCTTTAAAAGAGTATAGTTCACTTTTAAAACAAACTTTTGCTGATAATTTACTCACCCCCATGTCATCCAAGATATCCAAGTCATTCTTTCTTCAGTTGAAAAGAAATTAAGGTTTTTGATGAAAACATTCCAGCATTTTTCTCCATATAATGCACTTTACTGGTAACCAAACGGTCCAAAAGACAGTTTCAGTGCAAACTGCAAACTGTTCAAAGGGCTTTAAACGACACCAGACGATGAATAAGGGTCTCATCAAGCGAAAAGATCGCTCATAAAAAAATAAAATAAAAAACAAAGTTTAAGTTTTATAAGCTCAAATGGTTGCCTTGCTCTGTTCTGTGATGCGCGTTCATGACTCTCCTGTTTGAACTCGTTCATCAAAATGAACAAATCTTTTTTCATGTCATTTGGTTCATTCAACGAACGAAATGAATGAATTGACTCGGAAAAAGATTTGTTCATTTTGATGAACAAGTCCGAACAGGAGAGTTACGAACGCGCATCACAGAACAGAGCAAGGCGACCATTTGAGCTTATAAAACTTAAACTTTCTTTTTTTTTTTTAAATTAGCGCTCGTTTCACTTGATCAGACCCTTACTCATCGTCTGGAATCGTTTAAAGCCCTTTGAACAGTTTGCACTGAAACTGTCTTTTGGACCATGAACCGTTTGGTTACCAGTAAAGTCCATTATATGGAGAAAAATCCTGGAATACTTACATCAAAAACCTTAATTTCTTTTCGACTGAAGAAAGAATGACATGGACATCTTGGATGACATGGGGGTAAGTAAATTATCAGCAAACGTTCTTTTAAAAGTGAACTACTCCTTTAAGAGTTACACAGTATCCCAAGTGGGGGTTTTTTTCCTTCACATTTCTATACTAAAAAAAAGCTTGCACATAATATAGTGCTTTAACCATAACTATGCATTGAATCTACATTATTTTAGGCACACTTTTATCTAGGTTTCTTTTTCCATGAAAAAGTGATTTACCTAATTTCAGACCATAATCCTTTAAGCTGCCTATTTAAAGGAGAATAATATAGGCCTAAATAAATTTTATGCAGTATTTTATTCACTACATAAAAGCTGCACACATACTGAGAAACACATTATTGGTCTTGTAAACAAGCATTATAATCCTACATCCATTAAAAAAGGAAGACGCATCGCATTTTCATGAAAAGCCACAGGATACACAATTAGTCACTAAGTGCTGCAGAAATGCAATTGACAGGAGGGTGAAAAGCTGAAGGGCACATGACAAGGTCCCTAGAAACTGTCTGCTTTCCATCTCCACGGAGAGGAGATAAAGGAAGGCACTGACCAACAGCTGAGTTTATATTTAGCAAAAGGAGGGAGGGCTGCAATCACGCTGCGGGTCAAATCGTTTGACACCTGAACACAGATGAAGGTGACAGACACAACAGGCATTCATAAACCCTCAACAAAGGGAAGGAAACACAAACAGATATTAACAGGACATGAATGAGGAATGAAGCTAAAAAAAGCACAACTAATCTGTATTACCAATGCAAATTATTAGCTCACGAAACTGAAAACATGATTTGTGTCTTAATATCTGTGGTGTTGTGACTTCCGTCGTTTTAATTATCACTGACTTCATTAACATTTTGTTCCTCTAAAAGCCTGTCTGATGTCATTATATGGACATGTTGTGTCTTCGCCTGTAATCTCTTTTTCTACTTTTCCATTACTCCTTCATTGTCTGTTTCTTGCCACAATGGTGCTGCAGTCAGCTTCACTGCACCACTGTCACAAACGACCGACTGGTGACTCATCCACTTACATACTCAATCTCTCTCACTCTCTCCCTCTCATTTTCTCTCTTCAGCGCGCTTTATCTTTGCTCCACACACACACACAACTAATAATACATTCCTGACAAAGCATCTGTCTTTTTTTGTTTGAGGATGCAAACATTATAGCATCAGAGGTCACGCCATGACCGATGTAGAAATATCAAGCAAACAAACATTGCAAGTTTTTTCTATAAACTGTAACTGATGTCATTTGGCATTCATAATAATAATAATAATAATAATAATTAAAAAAACAGGCTGATTTTATTGAAACAGACCAGGGAGAGTATGAAAAAAGATGAGAAAGAAGTTTAGGCTAAAATTGTGTTTTATTATTTATAAAATTACATTCACACATAATTCTGTTTTGGTTATCTGACGGAGTTTACACAGGGAAAAACATGCCCTCATGCTGAATTATTCAATTGTTTTAAAAAAAGAAACCGTTCATCTTAAAATATTCCCTTATTTCACACCACGTTTAAAAAGCTATGTAAATACATCACACTTAATATCAAAGCCCTCTTCTGTTCTCTCAAACAAGCTACAAACACTCCCTTACTTATTACAACTCCAACGCCATGCCTACAGTCAGAAACACATCTTTGGAGAGCAGGATGTAGACCAAGATAAACAGGAAAGAGCTTCAGCGCCATTTTGTGGTTGAGACTCACTGCCGTGTTCTCGACGAAAGATACACATTCAGACATTTTACTACTGTGGCTCAAGGAACAGAATGAATAGACCACACAATATAGTCCATTCAGTATTGCAGCCATTTAAAAAGAGTCATTTAAAATTCCTCCCATTTAGTGAATATATCTTTAAAATTGATCCATTATAAAAAACCCATTAGAAGATTTCCTTTATGGTCCATAGCACTTAATTTAAAGTGGTACAAGTACAAATATTTGCATCTCACATAAATAAACATGGCTGGATGGTCAATGTCATTTTTTCCTGAGCAGCTACAGTAGACGTATAGTAATGGCATTGCATGACCTGTTTTTAAAATAGCAAGGCTCAAATCTTTTTTCAAAATATTTCTCTGAATGTTCAGATTGCTAAATTCAAATGTCTGCAACTCTCTTTCTCTAGTGTCGTTTAAGAAAGAGGAGTTCCCAGCTAGACAGTCATTTTACCAAATGTAAAAGACAAAAAAAAAAAGGTTGGAATTGAAATACAATCACATGCTGATCTCAGTAGTACCAAAATTTACCCTATTTTCTCCTCCCTCCCCTTAGACCCACTTGCAAACTCCCCTTCACATGTTGCAGTTGTACCAAAATTTACCATCTGTCTTGACTGTATTGGAAACAAGTACTAGGCCAGCCCCATCTCCTCTAGGACACTCCTGGGTGACTCATCCTCCTGTCCAGAGAAAAGGGTTTCCATTGAGGACATTACACAATGCAATGATTATTTAACTTGGCAGCTTATAATGTGCAATGCTCAGAGGAGTTGGGAGTATATTAACAAGTAACATTATTAGACTTTTCTACACAAACAACATTCAAGAATACATGCATAACACAACATACATATACACACACCTCTTGTAGAAGGTCGGCCTGTTCGATGGCCTTGAGCACGCTCTTCTTGGATGTGTCCTGAATTTCACCGCCCATAAGAAACTCGTCCAGGATAAAGTAAGCTTTTTCAAAGTTAAAAATGATGTCAAGCTCACAAACCTGACACACACACACACAAAACAGTGGACACATAAGAAACTATCTTGTTTATGTGCACAAGAATCTTATGATATTCCAGTTATGAATGTCACATACATTGAAATTGTGAAAATGAGGCAAAATTCCAGTTTCTAGAAATAAGTACTTAAATATGCCTGTATTATTTAATCTGCATTCTGTCATGTAAATGGCATATTAGAAATATCTATATTCATTTATCCACAAACATTAAAAAGCATGTTTTTGCTTTTGAAAGCTTTTGTCTCTTTTGCTCACCAAGGCTAGATTTACTAGAACAAAAATACATTAAAAACATTAATATTGTGAAATATATATTTTTTTTAAACTGTTTTCTGTATCCTTCTATTTAAAAAAATTTAAATGTTGAAAACAGTGCTGATTAATTTTTTTTGTGAAAAAGAACACCATTAATTTGAAATAGATGTTTTTTGTAACATTATAAACCAACACGTTTATCAATTTAATGTGCCCTTCTGACTAGAACTATGACATTCTTTCAGTATATAAAAAAAATCTTTCATCCAGACCCCAAACTTTGAACAATAATTAAAAGTTGATTCAAATACATAACTCAGAATCACCACTAACAACTTTTTCATAAATTTAAATAACTAATCAATAAAATTAGCTTTTTTTATCATTACAAATTTGTTGACAAACCTTACATCAATGCATTTTAATAAAAGGCACGAACTAAATAAAAATAATAACTGTAATGGGACAATTATGTGAATGTTAAAATGGTCACAGAGGAACATTGTGAATGCTACACACAATAATTAACACCAATGCACGCACAAGGGAATTAACCTTAATAAATGACAGGCAACAAAAACAGTCAGATAATCAAAACAGAAAAGCTGAAAAGCTACAGAGGGTTTCATGTGGCATGTACAGAGAAAAACCGACATGATACAATCAGCAGAGGATAAAAAGCAGAGGAGTGGATGGACAAAAAGCAAAAAGGATGAAAAAGTAAAGAGAATTTCACAGGTTTTGGGTTGCTGTGATGTGAGGTATGAAATAGCGAGAAAGAGGAGAGAAATAGAGAGGCCAGATGAAAGAGGGGTGGTGGCGAGGAATGACTCACACTGCCAAAGTACTTATCCAGCAGCTCCACAAAGCGATGGATGACCTCCAGGGTAATCAGCTCATTGTCCTGCTCCTCCACCGCACAGCAGAAATATAGACTGGCATACCTACACACAACCCAATAAATGGGTTATATATAATATGTCCATCAAAAAAGTGTATATGCAGTCAATCATATATATATATATATATAGTATATACATATACAGTATATAATATATATATATATATATATATATATATATTTATTTATTTTCTTGGGCAACTTTACTTTCAAGTTAACTTCGCTCAAATTTCACAATAACAAACTCTTCAGCCGACTCCAAACAAACTTATCAAGAATCTCCATAATCTACTCTTGTTCAGCACCAAAGCCAATGCAAATTACCAGTTTATCAATCTTTAGATGCGTTTTGACTCCTTTTAAGAAGGTGACTTTGATTCTCTGATGGTGCTCATTAGGTTGTGGTTAACATTGTAAATCTTGCCATTCATTCGTTTCTCTTTTATTCTGTATATATGCTTTGCTTCGTTTAGCTGTATGTACATGTAGTTTCATTTATTAAACCCTTTATATCCTACAGTATGATCTTGCTACATGCTTTTATACTGTTAGTACAATAGTAAGAAAGTTGTTGCTCTTGGCCAGGAGAATAATCGTAAGCGACCGTAGGGAGACCTTATAGCTTCTCTTTGTTGACAGACAACTAGCGAGTAACAGTTTCAATGCCGATTTTTGCTTGCATTTGTTTTGGCGCTTTGAAGTTAATATGCTAAGGGTGTCCTGCAGATGGCACTGCAAGCACGTGCAGCACTGTCAGAAGCAAATCCGTGCATTAAATAAATGTATTAGAAAACATAACATTTATGTTTATGTGTTTACAGTTTATGATATTTTCACAATTTCAATCATCAAATGTACCATGTTCAAACCCCGTTTACACCTGGAATTAAGTGGACAGCGCTAAATACAGGTGTAAACAGGGTCGAACAACCGCAAAGAGGCCGCCTACTCTCCATCTACTGACCTAATGCATAAGCATTATGGGAAGCACACTAGCCAAAAGGCGATTGAAACTTTGTCGGAAAACATACCAATCACAATGTTCTCTCACCAGATTTTTAACACACATTTACGGCATTGACAGCGTCGTCTTGAGCAGCTGCGCTTCATGTGGCCGTGCTCATATTTAAATTGTGCGAGCTTATTTTATCCATTAGATCAAAAGATTTGGAAAAGCCCATTGATTTACCCAACCATAGACCCTATCCTCACATAAATCAGGTGGTTTAAAGTGGACAGTAGAGACGGATTAAAACACCAGGTGTAAACGGGAATGTGTTGACCTTGGATGCATGTAAACTATTGAAGGAGTCTTTAAAATAGCATAATAGGGTCACTTTAATCAAACCTCAATGACATTCAGTAGCTGGCAAATTAAGAACATAATACATATGATGACAATTATATTATCATCAGATGCAGTGCTGAAGTGAAAAACAAAAACAAGCACCATACACAACAGAACAAGGCTGCTTTACTTTTAGTGCCCCCTTGTGCCAAAAAAAAAAACCCAATGACCCCCCCCCCCCCCTTCACTGTGCGTAGGTAACTAGATATGGAATGTATTTTTATGTTTCAAACAATACTGACACATTAAATGAGTCATTCTTCATGTTCACAATAATTTGAAGTATGCTTGTAGAGAAAAAGTGGAAAAATGTATGTAGTTTGTGTACCAGGACTGATTTTTTAACTGTAGCTTTTATTTCAGACAACCTTTTGTGTGCATGTAAAAAAAAAAGAAGAAAAGTGATATGTACAACCGACATTTTTGTCTCACGAGGTCATCAAATGCATGTGTGGTTTTCTACCTCTTGTAGACTATCTTAAGATCTCTCCATTCCAGGAAGCTGCACATTTTGGGTTTTCTGGCCAGCACGACCTGCATGAGCTCTCTGACCATCTTTTTTTTGTCACGCTCAGCCGTAGCCGTGTACCATTTCTGGAGTCGTAGCTTCCCCTGCCGGCTGAACAGAAGCATAAAGCGCATCTACAAACAATAGAGAGAGAGGAGAGGATTGCATAAAGAATAATAGTTAGTTCCTCAACCAGACACTAGTCAATATGACAGATAATGTAACAAATAAATAAATCTGTGGGGAAAAAATATGAGCAGTGTTATTTTAATATTATTTATGTGTTATTGTATTATCTATTAACATTTATTTCTTATTATTTTATATTTTAAAGTTTTGTTTAAATTTCTAGCAATTTAGTCATGTTTATCAAAATTTGACATTTTTATTCACTTGTTATGTCTGTTTGGCATTATTTTTTTATTTCAGGCTTACGAATTTGATCATTTTAGCACATACACCTAATTCAAATAAATATTTTTCTGGTTTAGGTTTTTTCATCTAATAGTTATATTTTCATTTTATTTCAAATTCATTTTAATTAATGGGAAAAAAAGTTTTAATTTTCAATAACAATGAACTAGATAATACAGAAAAACAAAAACAAATTATGATCAAAAACTAGAAGTGAGTAGATGGCATGCTGCAGTGTTATCAAATCACATTTTAAATTAGGTAAAGCATATTTATTTTACATACAGTTTTTAAAACTTTTATAGTCAGTTAGAGACTGCATGGAATATTTGCATATTTGTACTACATTTTCAATATTCAATTGTAATCGAAGGACCAATGAAAAGGCCAAAAGCGACTAAAACTGGTTAAAGATATTTTATATGGTTAAAGATAAAAAAGTGTGACAAAGTATACACTACCTTACTACTAATTCAAATAAATGACAACCTAAAATTCAACCTGATGTTGAAAAAAATAAATTAAATTAACTACCCACATACTGTACAGAGACATGATTCAATAGAACCAGCATCTGACTTATCAGAAAGGATGAAGGAGGCGTAATGGATAATTTGTGTAAAAATTTTCCTTTTAAAGAACTTCAGCGTCATCCATCATTACAAAATTAGAAAGCAAGCTGGCCTATACATTTCAGATGTGTTAAATATTTAAAAGGTGAGCTGAAGAGCACTGCATCTGCTCCCGAAAGACATGCCCCACATATCAAACACGGTGCATTCATTCAGCTCAATAAACTCCAAAGAAGGCTATCTATAACCATCACATTTTCTGATCACAGAACTAGTATACGAGTATGACACACTATGATTAAAAACCACAAGGAACACTACTCTAAGCACACATTAGTTTAATTGTGGAGATTTTTTTCTCGCTTGCTAAATTGAGGATTATACTTTGTGCCAGAATTTGTCTGCCTACATCAGCCCTTGAAATAATCTAAAAATGGTGCACTGCACTTGGCAGTGAAAGGCTCTGATGTACAACAGCCACTCGATTTCCAAAAAAAGAAAGACATAAAAAAGATGGGAGAAATGTGGGATTTTTTTTTTATTGAGGCCAAAGACAAGAATAGTAACCTCCTAAGGGAAAGAGACTATATTCTTCAATGCTATAAAAAGGTGTCCATCCATACTTAGCAGCCAAATCAAGTTAAAATTTAGCCTCCACATATAGCCAATAGTTTGTTAGAACCATGCATTGTTTTTACTTGATCAATACTTGTTAGTAGCTTTAACACACAGGTGTTGGGAGATTAAACTCACACATTCATGAAAATCTATGTTAATAAAGAACATTAAAATCTACAGAACATACAATCAGATCACCATCTACTGCTAAACTAAACATCTTTACTTACAGCGATGAATGTTTCTGCTGTTTTTCTTGCAACACAGAAAGAGGGGAAAACAAAAGGTCTTATATGGAGAAAAATGCTCTTTAGTTTTGTGACATTGGTTTATAGATCTAAGCAAGTTCAGGTCAGCCAGTTTATTGAATATGGCAAATAGGAAAGTGTTGGAAAGTTTGCACAGAGTAAATACATCACATTTTGCTTCCCTCTGTTATATGAGCATTAAGCATAGTGCTTTCTTCAGTTTGTAAACACTATTTTATGATGTGATGGATATTATTATCTCTCAGAGCAGCACTTCCTTTCATGCTTAACTGATTAGACAAAGGAAATACGTTGTGAAATACTTCGGAATAGTTTTAAGAGAACATACTGTTATGACACTAAAACCCGCAATGAAATTTACTGTGGCTTTAAAGGCATTCTGACTCACGGTTAATCTGAATCTCACATTAAAAATACATTGTCACAACCATAGGGTCACAACCAGTCACAACTAGACAACCGTTTCCGGGTCGAATCAAAAGAGTCAAAAGACAACTTTAAAAAATGATTTCATTTAAAACCTTAGGTTCAATTAACGATCCCTCGGATAACTTTGTAACACTCCGGTAGTTGAACACCAAGCAGTGAAATCATTTCGCTGATTAATTAATACAATCAACTTAACACATCAGATCTACGTTACCTGTCAACCTGACCGTGTAACGTTAGTGAACAAACGCTTTTTAATCTATGACATCTAACTGTTAACAGTTAGAGAATTTCACGATTTATTCGAAAGATGTAACGTTAACTTAAACCACATAAAGCGTCCAAACTGGACAGACCACCTAGGGCCCGACAGGTGAGATGTGAATCATTAAATAGGGTTTGAGGTGCCCAGGTGTACTAACTTAGCTTTAGCTAGCTAGCTCTGCCTGAAAAGTGTACACTAATGCCGATATAACAGTATAACTTACCATTCTGACGGCTTAATGAGAGCAGTCAGGTGATTTCAGGGAACAGCAACCCACTTTTTGGTAAATACCACAAGATAATATCAATACATGTCTAATTGACAGCTCGTAGTTTCAGAGCCCCATTTCAACAGCCGGGAGTAGCGCTGTCCTATTTGTGAACGAATTGTTTTTTGAGTCGGATCGTTTCAATGCATCGGTTGAATCGATTCGTTCACGAATTGGACTAATGAATTACTGTAAACAGCCGTATCTATTAATGAAACTTAACGTAATAAGCAGAAATACGCGTCGACAGCATTTTAGAGTATATAATATGCCAGGCCGAGATGTCAGGGATCACAATTAATCATGACGTAAAGGAACTATTGAATTGGTTCATTTAAAAGAACCGATCCGCTGAATTGAACCGGACTTCCCGTCACTAGAGATGAGTCAGGTATAGCGTCATCACCACCAGCACGCGTGCGCTCTGCGCATTCATTCTCCACAAGATCTCTTGCAGAAAGTCCGTTTGCTTCCTTCACAAGAAATTAATTCCTGCTCTTAAATAGAAAACAGTAAAAGTTGATGTGTTTGTTTACTAAAGTAATAAAGTGCTTTTCTTGTCCATTTGTGAAAAATTAACAGCATTGCCTCTCTGGCATCAGGGAAAGATGTTCAGATGTTGTTGCCATGACAAACCAGAGGGCTGATTCAGGTTACCATGGTAACGAAGATATCAGTCAAAGAACTTTAATCTGTTCATAGCCCAGGATTCCTGCTGCTCAGTTTGGTCGGTCATTGTCACAAATCATCTCAATACAATTTGTACTCCAAGTCAATAACACAAGCTAATCATACATTTATCTGAAACGTTATTTTAAAAGCCTAGCAACGCATTCAATTTGCCAGTCTGTTGTTGAACTTGCTCTTAAGCGACTTGTCTGGTTAAATAAAAGGTTAAAAAAAATGGTCTAAAAAGTGCTGGGATATATTTGACTTTTTGTTTGATGTTAAACTTTGAACACAAGGTGTCGCCAGCTCCACAATAATTATAAATAATAATAAAGAGAGCCAAAAGTATTTTATGGTCGCTTTTATTATAAAAGGATAAACAGTCTTCAAGAAGAAAAAAAAGCCTTCGACAATAAATTAATATAAATACTGTAAAATACAACTTTTAAAAAAATATAAGCACATTAAACATCAGATGAAACAAGCATAGACATTAATACAGTCTTCAAATTGTTAGTGCATGTGGAACTTCTCTCTGCTGAGGCTTTAAATGCATGTCCTTTAAATGTCCTTGACGTTTAACGTGCTTTGAACAATACTGTTTTCTTTTCATAGTCTAGATACTTCTCCACTTTAGCAGGGAAAACAATGAATAACCTCGTTTATACGTTTCTTATTAATGTTTGGCACTCGTAATGTTTCAGCACTGTTTGGCAATGCTCACATGGCAGATATAGAAGGTTTTGCAGTCTCCCCTCCTCCCTCCCATTTTAAAACAGATCTAGTGTCTTCAGTAGTATGTTGTGTGCAGACTTTTTGGTGGTTTCTTTGGTCCTTCTGCTTGTACGGTTACTTCAGTCTGTTAGTATTCTTGAGGCTGGTTAACTTGACCGCTGAACAACAGCGCACCTGTGAAATTGAGAAGGAGAGATTTACATTGAGGGAGTGAACAAACAAGTCTTAAATTACATTGACATTCAATTAGATTAAAAAGCCATCAAAATGTCATGTAATGAGGTGAAAGCACAACTGACCAGTGGGTTTATGTTGAATGAGGAAGTAGAAAGGTCTATCCAGTGTGATCTCCTCCATAGCCATGCGAGAGTAGATGACAGCCGCTGTGGAACCACAGAATAATGTAAAAGATGCATTCTGGTATCACTGTAATGATTGCCAATGCCATTTAATCTGTTGTGGTAGGTTGTAATTCAGTGTTTGTATACCTGTAGCAGATGAGCCTTTGGTTCCTTCTTCGGTCACCTCAAGTTTTACTCTCTGAATGACCTTGGATATACATAAAGGTTCCTCAGCTGAGTCGAAGGAAAAGAGAGAGATCAAAAAGAGATTAACATTTATTCCTTGACAAAAAAGCTACATAGTTGGCAAAAAATAAAATCTGATCATTTCCAATACTCACTGGTAATGCGAGAGAAATCAGCTTTGCTCTGGCTGAAAATGTCTCCAAGACCCATCTTGCTCAGTGTAGACTTCAGATCAATTTCTGCATCCATAGAGAACCTGAAAATGTAAGAACATATAAATTAGGCATCAGGTTTTAAATGTTTATCAATAAAAATAAAAAAGCTAAAGTTCAAAAGAAATGCATCAGTCTCGGTTACCTTGGGATAGCTAGTTGTTTGTTAACCTTTCTCATTTCTTTTCCCCATTGGCGAATCCTGCTGCTGCTTAGCTCTTTGTTCAAGGCCATCAGAGGCACATCCCTTTCAAATGGTGTCACCAGAAGCATACTTATAATCTCCCCCTCATAAGGCACCTCGATGACATCGTACTCCACACCGTCGTCAGTCACAAACTCACCTGGATGGAGAAAAATAACACGATTGTAAATTACCTTAGGATTTTCCCCCGTCATGAATCTAGGGGTTCCTTTCAAACGAATCCTTGACACTCACCATAATTAAATTTTTGAGTCATTGTCATCATAGGAACAGATACAGCACTGCCATTGGCTCTATGGAAGAGCTGTTCCCTAGTAAGTTTTGGGTCAAAGGCTGTCTTCCAGATCCCATGGAAGTGGACGGCATTTAACAGGACTAAACGTGTTCTTTCACTCAGCACCCCAGATGGGAGGAAGTCAGAAATCATTCCTAAGAAATTAAAACAAAAGTCAAATTAGGTGTCTTGGTGTATGATGAGTGAGTTTAAATTTACTCTTAATAGCAGATATTTTTAATCTAAAGTGATATACAAATGATGATTATCCCTGGCAATTTATTCAAAATAGCAGTTATAGCGTTAATTACTTACCACCAGTGTGGTCAGATGTCCAGGAGTTGATCACCTGCCTGGCCAACTCTGGGTGGGTGAAGTCTATTTGGTGTGGGACGCTCTGGAAGGCTTTGGTCAGGCTGCGTCTAAAGACCTTTTCCAAAATTATCTTCCTGTCGACCATGACACCACTGGCTACTTCCACTCCCTCTTCACTGGCCAAATCTCTCTGAAGCTGCCTCTGTAGCTTTGGCATTCCTCGTGCTATCAAAGGAAAAGCGAGAATAGAGTTAAGGAACATAGGAATGACAGATATTGTGTTTTAAATATCAGAATAGGAGATATACATGATACATGGTCACCTACTCTATACAAAGACTGAATTATGGTTCTTCGAAGCTGTTCCAGAACATATTTTCAGTTCAACTGAATTACATCTACAGCTCATATTTACCTTGCAGTGAGTAGCCCATCTTGGAGGTGAGCACTTCAAGTGTGCTGCTATAGGCTCCCAGCTGAGCCATGCCCAGTACTGAGGAGATACCATAAGGAGAGAGAGCCAGATTTCTATCCGGCGCAGACTGGACAGCTTTGGAGAACACCTGGAGTCCAAAATCCATCTGTTTCTCTTGGATGAGGTTGCCCAAGCTTGACCCACAAAGGGCAAAGATCAGCAGCATACTCAGGCTCTGCATTCTGAATAGAGGAACAGGAGAGTGATGTCAGCTTTGTTTATTCAAAACTGTTAAGATTTTATGAAAGATAGTTTTATGAAGGTCTTTTTTTTCTTCATTCCTGATTAAGTACACCTATGTTTTGGTTCACAATACTGTTCTCTTTTTGAACGAGGTTGAAACGTGTTTGCCTCCATGGTTTGCCTAGTGGGTGTGCACTAAGTAAAACCATGGAGACAAACACATGTTTCAACCTCGTCCAAAAAGAGAACAAGCTGCTTCTTTACTTTCCCTTTGGAAAATTCTCCCTCATGTGCAAGACTCAACACCCGACTGTTCAAAAGCTGTTATATTTCTGTTCGTCTATCTTGACTCACTCTTTCATACCTCAGGCATTTACCTATAGGCTACAGATCAATAAGAACCTTTGTACAACACCTCACCCAATTCTAAGTCTCATAACGATAATGGTCAACAACTGATAATTACTCAACTAATGATTAAATAATGTTTCAAATTTCACAACCCAACTCTGTTTTCCAATGCTGTTGAGAGTTCCGACCAAAACATGTGGGCATAATTGTTAACAACGAAAAAAAAAATCCTTGCTCATCGATTATATAGCCTACTGGCCTGAGCTTTTAGACGATTTGCGGAATGAGGCAGAACAAGAACATACAATTACCTGAAAGACGCTTTACTTTTGTAGAGTTTCTTTGTAGATTTGAGTAGGGAGTAGAGTCTCTCGCTTGTTATTGTGCTCCTCCAATGCAGAGCCAAGAGTTGTACGGAGTGTCAGTGAGAAGCGCTGGCCCTATTTAAGTACTTGAGACCTCCCCTTTCAGTCGCACACACACACTAGCGGAAGTTATGAAGTCATCTTTGTCTGCATTTTTAGTCGCCCTCTCCCCTTTTTTCACACAGACATCAGACAAACATAAACACTTTTCCCCACCCGCACCCAGTCTCTTTCCATTGAACTTCTGTCTGTCTCTTCATTTTACGGGACCGTTAAACAGCAAAGTCATACGTTTAGTCTAAGGCAGAAATTACAGCTCCTTAATCTTAAGCTTTCAACACTGTTTCTTTGTTTAATAAAACTCTCTGTAAAAAAAAAAAAAAAAAAGTTGCACTAAATTTTTTAAGTAGCCTACATCAGGTTGGATGTTTATGTCATTTCAACTTAAATTACTTTAAACTGAATTAAAAATTAGCCTACTTGAATCTTGGATTACTTGTATAAAAAGTAAAACAAAAAAATGCCTATCTTGAGTTAAAGCAGTGTAAGATGAGTTGAGTTAAAACTCATCTGATGAGTTAAAGCAGTGTAAAAACATATGTTGACATAACATTATTTACAGTGATAGATTTTATCATGCTTATTTTTTCCCACACTAAATATATAACCAAGTAAATAAATGAGATTAAAAATAAGAAATTACTACATAATAGAAATTACTATACTATGGATAGACAATTTCACACATCTAGTACAATTACGGGATGTTGTGTCATTAATACAGTGTACATTTTTTCTTGATTTACCCTGAA